CCTGGCTTTACCCCTCAGTACTGAAAACAACAACAATGATAATTTTAAAAAATAAAAGAATAGCCTTTTCAAGCTTTAGCTCAGTGTAGAGGGCTTGCCTATCATGTATGAAGCACTGGGTTCAATCATAAGCACCACAAAAAAAATAAATAAGTAAAATAAAGATATTGTGTCCATCTACAACCAGCCTTTTCATGTCTTCCTCACCCTACTCCCAGTACTGGAGATTGAACTCAGGGGCAGTCTACCCACTGAGCAATATCCCAATCCCTTTTTATCTTTTTATTTTTTATTTTGATACAGGGTCTCACTAAGTTTCCCAGACTGGCCTTGAACTTGGAATCCTCCTGCCTCAGCCTCCCCAGAAGAGATACTATAGGTGTGCACCACTACACTCAACTGCTTTTTATGCCTAATCTTAAGAAATAAGAGGACATAGCCAGCTCAATGTAATATCTTCAAAGTGTTAATCATTTAAGCTTGGTTATTTCTAAGGAAGAGGTAGAACACTGGAACCATATGAAAAGTTTAGTAGGCTTTTATAAAATTCCAGGCTTAAGAGAAAGTGGGGCTAGGATGACAGCAGAAATGGAAAAGAATATATTTTGAAGACTTGCTGGGTATCAACGATTAGAGGACAACCCAAGCTAAGCTAAAGCAAAGGTGGGGGGGGGGGGAATTTATTGCAGGACTATGAGTTTATTTCAAAGTAGCCAAGTCACACATCCTAGAACCAGGATTTACAAGTCTTTTTTACAAAAGTGTTCAGAAAAGGGTTAAGGAAATACCAAGATACTTTCATAACTTGAGCAATTGTAAAGAGATAATGAAGAAACTTAGATTAATCCAGATAGATAGGAGTGTGGGTCATTGGGTGTGACTGTGCCTGCCTGTAATCCCAGCAACTAGGGAGGCTGAGGCAGAAAGATCACCAATTAAAGGCCAGCCTCAGCAGTTTAGCAAGACCCTAAACAATTTAGTGAGACCCTGTCTCAAAATTTAAAAAAGGAGCCAGGTGTGGTGGTGCACACCTTTAATGAGTTGGATCATGAGTTAAAAGCCTTAGCATTTAGCAAGGTTCTTTTTTTTTTTTTTAATAATATTTTTTTAGTCGTTGGCAAATCTTTATTTTATTTGTTTATATGCGGTGCTGAGAATCGAACCCAGGGCCTCACACATGCCAGGCAAGYGCTCCACCACTGAGCCACAACCCCAGCCCCAATATTTATTTTTCAGTTTTCGGTGGATACAACATCTTTGTTTGTATGTGGTGCTGAGGATCGAACCCAGACCGCATGCATGCCAGGCGAGTGCACTACTGCTTGAGCCACATCCCCAGCCCCCTTACCGAGGTTCTAAGCAACTTAGTAAGACCCTATCTCTAAATAAAATATATAAAAAAGAGCTAGGGATGTGACTTAGTGGTAAAGAACCCCTCTGTCCAATCCACAGTAGCATACACATAAAATAATAAATGTTAAGAGAAAACCCATATGATTACCCAGATGCAAAAGAGATAATTTATAAAATTCAATGTACAGTTTTGAGTGTAGTGACACACCTTTAATTCTAGCAATTCCATAGGCTGAGGCAAGAAGATCACAAGTTCAAGACCACCTCAGCAACTTAGCAAGACCCTAGCAAAAGTAAAAATAAATAAAAAGGGCTAGGGATGTGGCTCAGTGGCTAAACACTCCTAAATTCAATCCCTGGTACAATAAATAAATATGATATACAGTTCCTGGAGAGTTAGAATATTAGGAAATATCCTTATATCAGTAAATGGAATCTATCAGAAATTAGAAACAGGTATTTAACAATAGAGGCATGACCATGACCGTTAAAGTCAGGAACAAAACAAGAATTGCCACTGTAACTCAATAGTCTGGAGGTACTAATCAACATGATGAGATTAAAAGGGGGTGGGGAGAAACAACTAGCAGATAATCATCTAAAAAGCAATTTTTAAGTTGTTTCAAAGCAATTAAGACTGGGCTAGGAGTGTAGTTCTTTTCTCAGGAAAATAACTCTTGCCTAGCATGTACGGCCCTGGGTTCAATCCCCAGTACTGTAAAAAAAATTAGTACTAATAAGTGAACAGCAACTGCATGGACATGCCAAAATAAATAGCTTTCTTTCCCAGAAGTCAAAAGTTTCTGTGGTGTGAGCTCATTTTCATTGCTTTCAGTTATAAGCCTTTATTTTCCTAGGCAGTGAGTTTGCCCCAATCCCTGGAGTTCTTTTTTTTAAACAATATTGTATTTTTTATATGTTCTTTATTTATTTGTATGTCATGCTGAGGATCAAACACATTGCCTCACACATGCTAGACAAGCACTGTACCACTGAGCTATAACCTCAGCTCCTTGGGGTTCTTGCTAAGGTTTAATCTCCCCCAAAAAAGTGCCTATTTAGGCAGTCTTAATTCCAGCCCCCTTAATCCCATCTCAGGTGTAATTTTCTGGCTCTTGATAGTACATATTAGCTTTTCAGTTCCTTCAATATGTAGTCCTTCCTCCTTTATCAGACCCAGAAGTCCCCACATAGATTATACTGAGATTTAAACCTGGTTTCTATGGCTTTACAGCCAGAAGAGAAATGAGATCAATTGTGAAAGAGGTTTTACTGAAGGGAGTTAGTGCTTTCTCTTACTAGAAGTTATGAAGTGCTTCTGCAAGCTCTGAGGGTCCGGAGGTATCTTTAGAGCCAATATCCTAAGCCATCCAAGTTTCAAAGATTCAGGTTTTCCCAACCAGGATCTGTAAAACTCTATGACTATCCAATCCCATGTCTACTCTTCCACTGCAGCAAAAAGAGCTTCTTTGTTAAGCTCCAGAGAGGTCCCCAGGCTTCCAAGGTTAGCCTCTAACTGAAGTGCCCTCAGTTTCTCCTTAACAGTTTGCAAAGTATTACTTACATTAGTAATAAACATTGTTTTCCCCATATCTTTCAAATGCCTGAATTGTCACATAGACAAATAAGTTCTCTCTTTTGATATGTTTTCCTATAATCACTACTGGTAAAGTCTTTATCACCAGGGTGGTTCTGAGTAAAGCCATTCCGCTACTCTCCAAATCTCATCTTACTGTTTTTTTTGTTTTGTTTTGTTTTGTTTTGTTTGCACCACTCAGTGTACCACCTATGTAAGCTCTGGTCCTCAGAGAAGCAGATACCAGAAAGGGATTATGGTTGGTCCTCTGTAGTCAGGGGTTCTGCACCTACAAATATAAACAACCTTGGATGGGAAAAGTTGTATTTATTTATTTGTTTGTTTTTTTTATTTATTATACTAGGGATTAATCTAGGGGCCTCTTTCCCTGCATTTCCCCAGGGACAAGAAGTCCATGGAATCAAGGGGACATGTCTACCTAAAACTCACTCTCCACTTTGTAGCCTATTTCCAGGGTCTGCTAAATCCTCTTCCCAAGATATGTCCTCCTAAGACTATATTCAAGGAGTGTAGAAAGGATTTAAGGCTGAGGTGTCCTCTAACAGTGGGCTCAAAAGTTGTCTCTAAATCTTTCACCCAAGACAATTATTTTGGGGTTTAAAATACATTTTGTGCACATCAATCACAGCAATTATTGAGCATTTATTGTTATGTATAACAAAGTTCATATTCTGAAGTTCTTTATAAAGAAAAGAAATCCGGATTTTTGTGTTTGTTCTGGGGATTGAAATCAGGGGCTCTTTACAGCTAAGCTACATCCCCAGTCCACTCCTATTTTTTACTTTTTTGAGACAGAGACCTACTAAGTTCGCCTAATTGCTAAAGTTGGCCTGGAACGTGGATCCTCCTATTTTAACCTTCCTTAGTCACTGGGATAATTGGCATGTGCCACAACGTCCAGCTGAATCCAGATTTTCAAATTAGAATTTAATTTTTTCCAGGCGTCTTTTCTGTTTAAGGCACTGTCTCACTTTTTAGTGTACTCACATATAAGTAATAAGTAATCTGGTCAAAACATGAGCACGTTTTGACAAGACCATTGATAAATGATGACTAGAACTCCCAAAATGCACTACAGGGTCAAGGTCTGCACCTCGGTTTTCATCATTCGGGATAAAGGGTTCTAAAGACCGTGTTAGATAACAAATTAAGGGACTTAAATAAGCGACATGTACTAAGACCCAGTGAGTCACCTGTATCCACTACACAATGTATGACAATATGAATGCCAAGAGAATTCCTTCTTCGCTTATTCAGTGCGCAAGACAGAAAACTCAGGAAATGCCCGCAGGAGAGACTGGAAGGTATCCAGTATTCTCTGATGGGTTAAGAAGGTAGCTCCCCGCCACTCCCCTTATCTACAGATTTATTTTTCGAGGTAACATAACCTACTGTATTTTCATGAAGCGGAAACGTTGCTTTTCAAATGGCCAACTACTACGAGACTAATGGTAAAAGGCATTGGCGGGAAATAGGAAACTGTCAACACTAGTGTAGGACATAAAAATCTCCTAAAGAACTGGTATCCATATAACATTTCCTGGACCGAGGATCAACTGTAATAAATTATTATATAATGAGTTTTAGGTAGGCTGAAAGCGCTCCACGTTCCTTCGTCTTCACAGGAAAAAAAGTTTGAATTTTGTCTCTGGCTGACGGCGAATTTCCACTAAGGATTGCAAACACGTCTCTTTCTTTTTTGCTTCGGGTTAGTCCTGTTCAAGGACATGTACTTCTCAAGCTGGCTTCACTTTTCCTCAAAACTGGGTCTGTGAGCTCGCGTGCCAGTACCAGCCCTACCAATCCCGAGCCACACCTGGCTATCACGCGCCACACAAACAAATCTCAGCGCCGGAGGAGTCGGGGAGTTCGCGGGAACCTCCCGTCCAACCGAGATCTCGCGCAAGAGGAGGGGCCGGAAGTGGAGGAAGGCCTACACAGCCCCTCCCACCCCAGGCACACCCCTCCTCGCGATAGCGCCGAGCGTTCGGGCCCGGGAAGCGTGTGCGGAGGAGTCCTTGCCTTGCACTCGTCGGCCGCCGTAGCCCCTGCTAGGACAGCCCGTACGAGCCTGCTGTAGGAGGAAGAGAAAGGCAGAGAGAATCGGGTTACAAGATGGCGGATCTGTAGTAGTTACCGCGGCGGCGGCGGCGGCGGGAGAGCGAGCGAGCTCTGGGGGGCAAAGGGACGGGAGGGTGGAGGTGTGCGGGGCTGAAGTAAGAGATAACGGGGACTCCGAGTGGAGGGGTCTCAGTGGCTCTTGTCAACCCTTTTCGCGGCTGAACCTCTGGAGCCATGGTGAACTGGGGCCTCTCCAGAGCCGCCGCCGCCGCCGCTGCCACCACCACCGCCGCCGCCGCCGGCGCCGCCGCCACTACTGTCTCTCAAGAGTGAGGGTCGCGGAAGAGGTGAGCGAGGAGGCGGCGGGCGGAGCAGTGGGGACAGCAGCCACCATGTCGGATACACGGCGACGAGTGAAGGTTTATACCCTGAACGAAGACCGGCAATGGGACGACCGAGGCACCGGGCACGTCTCCTCCACTTATGTGGAGGAACTCAAGGGGATGTCGCTGCTGGTTCGGGCAGAGTCCGACGGTAAGGTTATTGGGACCATAGAATAAGTCTCTTCCGTTGGGGTGCAGCCCGAGGTTTAGGCCCTAAGCCCGGTTACTCCTATTATCATCTCTTGGGACAGCGATTGGTGTCGAGCCTGCTCATATGGTAAAAACAAACTACTTTGCCTGGATTTACCCTCGGTCAGATGCAGATTCTCCGTTCCCCCGCCTCCTATCCCTATTAAGGATTTGACCCCTTCCTCTCCAGTTCCTCCTTTGAAAAGAGGTTTTAGAGAGTGGGAGGAAGTACTGAGAGAAGCGATAGTGATCTGCCTACCCTGGGGAGCTGACACCTCCATCAGTTATATTCTTATCCATTATGTGTCTTGTGCARAAGATTTAGCGAAACTTTTATGAGTACCTTTTACTTTTTCTTTTTATTTTTTTAACACTGAATTTAAGCAACCGGTTTCGTTGCTACAGTCGACAGGTGCGGGGGGAAAACCAGAAGGCTCCTTTTCCTGGGGTTATTGCAGATTCGTTGCCACGATACATGTGCATGCACAAACACATACATCTTTAGTCTGGGATTCCTCCGGGCTGCTTTTGTAGAGGGTGCTATGAAAAAGTGGATACATCACAATCTCAGCAAGGACACCAAAGCAGATTGTAAACTCCTCGATTTCGTTGATTGATGATACGAGTCATGTGAAGTATTTTTAAATTATAAAATATATAGCTAAACAGTCAAGGGCATTTATTTCTGTATTGCAAGGCATTCTTTTGTTCTTAGGGTTAGGAAAAGGATAAATGCAACACTAATTTGTATACTGAATACTTACAGATCTTGGTCGTGGTCCCTCATAATTTGTCTTGCTAAACTGGAAATACAGTAAAAGCAACTTTTTATTAAAAGTTTGATTTCAAATGGTCATTTTGACCTTAAAATTTTCATTTCATTGAAACTTAAATAATCATCCCATCTCCTCATCTTCTTGGTCTGGGTGTTAGTTTTAGATGGATTTTTTTTTTCCTTTAGGAGTAGGTGGGGATACAATGAAATAGTGTAAATTAAATAACGAAGCATATATTTGGAGAGAAATTACTTAAGGTGTTCAGCAGAGTGGAAAGACATGATCACTTTGGGATTTTTGTGTTTTATGTAGTACTAGGGATTAAACACAGGGCCTTGCTCATATTAGGCAAGTGCTGTACCACTTGCCTGCAACCTCTGCCCTGAAAAGATTTTGTTGTTGTTGTTAATTTTTTTTTATTTGTTTAGTTAATTTCTTTGGGGGGGGGATTGTACTCAGGGGCACTAAACCACTGAGCCACATCCCCAGCCCTATTTTGTATTTTATTTAGAGACAGGGTTTCAATGAGTTGCTTAGCACCTTGCTTTTGTTGAGGCTGGCTTGAGATCCTCCAGTCTCAGCCTCCCTAGCCGCTGGAGTTACCTGCCTGCACCACAGTGTCCTGCTTGTTGTTATTAATGTCTTAATGTGTTAGTTTTTTATTCACAGTTTTATAATTTGAGACTTATTTTTTATCTTTCAGGATCACTACTCTTAGAATCAAAGATAAATCCAAACACTGCATATCAGAAACAACAGGCAAGTAGTTGTTTTTTTAATTTGAAAGACTTCATCTGTCACCAAGGAAATATTAATCTGACAAAGATGGGAATGCTTTCCTGACAAGGAAAAAATGTTCTGTAAACAAAGAGACCATGTGTGATTCCCTTCCATGTTGACAGGTTCATACTGAAAATTGGAGGTTTTTGTACTGTCAATAATTTAATTATTAAATTGAGCCACTGTTTATATTAGTATACAATGTATTCATTAGACTTAACTGCAGTAAGCTGGATCTCTCTTATACCTGGTACACTAAACCTTTTATTCAGAATCACCTTTGATTGAAGGAAATAGCTTAAAAGAAAATTTGAAGGGAAGTCTGTTTCTAGTGGGAATTAAATTTTTTAACTCAGGTAAAAGTTTTTGAAGTAGAAGCATGTAAGTACTGATCTCTGATTGTTGTATATTTTTAATAATCAGTGGGTACTGTATGGACATGTACATTGCCAGTTTTATAGATTTCCCATGTACATTTATTGTCTTATTTTGGGAAAGAAAACTTGTGCTGTGTTTTAAGGTGCCTAATTATTTAATCTGAAAATGGTAGCAGTGATTAAAGTTTTTTGTGTGAATGTGTTTAATTTTTATTATGAGAAATGTATCATAATTGGAAAGTAAAGAGAATATTGTAATGGATATCTGTAACACCACTAGATTTAATAATGTTAACATTATGCCATATTTGCCAGGCATGATGGGACATACTCTGTAATCCCAGCAACTTAGAAGGCTGAGGCCAGGAAAGTTGCCAGCCTCATCAATTTAATGAGGCCCTATGTGAAGTAGAGAATTTTAAAAAGGAGGGTTGGGGGCTGAGATTGTATCTTAGTGGAAAAGTGCCCCTGGGTTCAGTTCCCAGTTTAAAAAAGATAGGCCATATCTGTTTCAAATCTTTTTATAATGTTCAACATTATGAGTAGAGTTAAAGCCCACTTTGTGTCCATCCCATTCTATCCATTCTCTACTTCCCTGTAGATAACCCTATTCTAAAGTTGATGTATATTCTTTTTTGTAGATGATTTTATACCTTTTCTATATATATACATATCCAAAGATAGTATGTAGTCTTCTATGTTTTTTTTTAACTTTACACAATTGTCATATATTCTTACATGTACTCTGCAACTTGCATTTTTTTTTCCACTCATTTATTTTGAAGATTTCTATGTGTTAGTAATGTGGATATATTTGGGTTTTTTTTTTTAAGACACTATTGTGTTCTTTTGTTTGTTTGTTTGTTTGTTTGTTGTTTCGTTGTTGGTAGACCTTTATTTTATTTATTTATATGTGGTGCTGAGAATCAAACCTAATGCCTCATACATGGCCAGGCAAGCACTGTACCACACTGAGCCACAACCCCAGCCCACACTATTGAATTCTAATATGTGATATACACCCACCAAACATTTAGATTATTTTCATTTTGCATGAATAATATATACAATTATTATGGCAGATATTTTTTTTTTTAAGGAAAAGAGAAATTATTTTAGAATTACATTTACAGCATCAAGTACTTTCTTCAAGATATCTGAAAATGTGGATTCCCAGAAACAAATACTTAACAGTGAAGGGATTAAAATTATGTCTGTTGCACAACTAATGAAAAGTTTTACTGTTAAAAACTTTCATATATAATTAGTTCTTCAAAATATTTTAAAATTCTTAGTATTCAATTAATAGCTTTTTCCTCTACTTAGAAAATGTCATATATCTTTTTTTGGTGACAAATCAAATCAAACATTTCTCATGAATACATGAACATGTTTACCATATCTTGAGCATTTTTTTTCCACAGATCTTCACACATGTTACCACTGAGCTGTATATCTCAAACCCTTTTCCCCTCCCCACAATTTTTTGGTACTGTGGATTGAACTTTGAGGTGCTAAACCACTGTGCCACATCCTTAGCCCTTTTTATTTTTTATTTTGAGACAGGGTCTCACTAGGTTGCTGAGGCTGGCCTCAAACTTACGATCTTCCTGCCTCAGCCTCCTGCATTGCTAGGGTTACAGGAGCACACCACCTCTCAATGCTAGTTTTTATTTTGTTTTGCTTTGTTTGCTTTGTAGTTTGCTTTTACTATATAATATTAAAATTCATCAGGGAATTCTTTGGTATGGAAAAACTTTGTTATAGGAATGAAAAACCTGCAAGTGGAGTAACCTGGTTTTTTATTTTCTTTATTTTTCTTAAATCAAATGTACTTTACTAAAAGAATTGTGTTAAATTTAGTTTTGTTGTAGTAGATGTGGTTTCTCATATTTTCACCAAATTCTTAAATTTGGTTTGCATTTTTTACAAGTATACAAATTGAGATTTCCAAATACATTAGTATTTTTTATTCTTGAGAATTAATTTTTAAACATCAACCTTTGAGTTTTTCAGTAATTTAATCTAGAAAAGTATTTCCAAAATTTACATAAAGTATATTATTCATTAGGGAGTTCTAATTAAAAACTTAGTGAGTGAATGGAGTATTTGTAGGAGATTTGCTACATTTAAACATATTAAATAAATTCAGGTTGTTGAATGTCAAATACTGAATATCATTCTCATTGCTTTCTTCCTTACTGTGTGTAATACTGAAGAAGTTAATGAGAAGGGAATGTACTTTGTTACTACACTTTGTTATGTTTTTAAACACATTGGGGAAAGAATGATTATATAATACAGCGTGAAAAAAAAAGTGCCTGATGTGTGTCAAAATTTTTAAGTTATTTGAAATCAGTTCCACTGATCTTGTCAAAATGGAAAGCAGAGTCATAAGAATGTAAGTTTACTTATTATATTTAACATAGTTGTGTGTCAGGGTTGGGAAGGGCGTAGAAGGAAATCCTCACCTCAGTTTTATTGGCAAGTATCACAAATGAAACAATTGCAGAATGATGATAATATTGATAGTAAAATATTTTAACCCATCCCTCAAAAAGATTTCATGGAGAGGCAGCTAATGTACAGAAAGGTTAAGTGTCTTGACTAGGGTTGTATAACAGGTATGTGCCAACATAAAATGTTATAAACAGTAAACTTATATTCTATAGCTTTGGGCAGTAGAAAATTAGATATGGGATGGATTGATATAAGCTAGAATCAGAAAAATTTCAGTCTTAATGGTGGTTATTGCTGAAGGAACTGTGATGGAAGGAATTAAGAGCACCTGCTATAAAAGGCATAAGTTTTTTGAGAGCTTAGTTTGCTTTGAGGGGCAGGGGGCAACTATTGGGCTGGGGTTTGTTTTTGCTGCTGCTGTGATTTGGGAATTGACCCCAAGAGTGTTGTATAACTGACCTACATCCCCAACCTCCCCTCTCCGCCCCCACAGAAGGTCTCCCTAAGTTGCCCAAATAGGCCTTGAATTTGACYCATTTTCACATACTGAATAGCTGGTGTTACAGATGTATTGTGCCATACCTAGCCACTCTAGTTTCTTCTAAGAGCATAAGATAATGAAAATAATACTGTGTTTAAGGAAAACAGTGTGATAATGTTGTGCATAATAAAATGGGTAGGCAGAGCAGAAGAGGTTTTGGTAGCAAGACCTTTTGCAGTAATTAAAATACATGAAAGTGGGCTGGGGATGTGGCTCAAGCGGTAGTGTGCTCGCCTGGCATGCGTGCGGCCCGGGTTCGATCCTCAGCACCACATACCAACAAAAGATGTTGTGTCTGCCGAGAACTAAAAAATAAATATTAAAAATTCTCTCTCTCTC